TTTACTGCAATTTTTTGGGGTAATATGGAGAAAAAATCAATAAATAAGAAAATAACAATAAAAATCGCAAAATAATTATGGGGTGGCTAATACCAACAAAGGGATGACTTCAGCCACCCTAAAATAGGTCTAGCCACGTCCCTGGCTTAAGAGCAGCCTTTAATGCTATCTTAGACACTATTGGCTTTGTTCAAAATGTGAATAGTCCCACACATTCTCATCTTCATACTTTGGATCTTTTGCTGACATACGGCATTGAGAAGAAATATCATAACAGAAATACTCTGCCCATTTTTCACAACTTCTGAGGTTTAGCTAACTGAGTTTTAAAAATTCCTGAAAGATGGTTTAATTATTGTAGATCCTAGCAGGATAACTTCGTAACATCTTAACGTCTTAATCAAGAATTTGGTCCCTTATTGCCCTTCAAAACCTAATGATCTTGTTGATGTTGTTCCATAGGAAGCAGACTACCTGGTTAAAGTCTGAGCTCCATTTCTTTAAGCATTGGTTAGTCTATGAGAGACACTCTTCCTTTCTTGGGGTGTTCTGCTTAGTCTGAAATGGTTTATAGCTGTGTAAAAAGACTCTTTGCAAAGCTGGGTCATTATATTTCTCTTCATTAATTGAGAAGAATAAGAATAATGCTAGATTTCTTTTTAATCAATTTGCGAGAGCCATAGCTCTGTTGAACTATCCATCCCACCTGTTCTTAGCAGGGATGATTTTCTGGCTGTATAATGAGCTCAACACTGTTATTAAGGTTTTTTGGTAAAATGCTGAAGACCAATAATGTCTGGGCCGGCTTGCAGCATTTATCCAGCCCTGGATGCAGTAGTAGCTGTAGTTGTATATAAGGAAGTAGATATCCAGCCTTCCTGCTGGATAGAGTTCTAGTTCTTAGACTGGTACCTGTTAGTAACTGATCTGTTGACCTGCAGCATCTAAGGACCTGTATACTCTGAAAGTTTCCAGGTAGTACTCACACAGAGAACTCCACGGTGTAGGAGTAATCGGCCGAAGGTTTGGGGGCCCAGCTCAGGAGGGTTTTGAAGTTGATGGAGGTCCAAGTGAGGTTGTGAGCTGGAGGATATGAGTCTGCAGCCCCTGTTGGTCACATGAAAGGTCAGACTTCATCACAATAAAGCTTTGCTGGGTTTTAAACAGCTAATCACCGGCCCCGGGGCCAGGAGAGCTAATCACCGCTCTGTACCCCGACCCGGCCCCGGGGCCAGGAGAGCTAATCACCGCTCTGTACCCCGACCCGGCCCCGGGGCCAGGAGAGCTAATCACCGCTCTGTACCCC